ATTGTCACAATAAAGGTGACGTGGTCAAGTTGTATCACGGTTAATATGACATGGTTACGGTAAATATGACGTGGTCAATGTGTGTAACTGTAAATGTGATTTGGTCAGAGCTTGTCACAATAAAGGTGACGTGGTCAAGGTGTGTCACGGTAAAGCTGACGTGGCAAGGTGTGTCACGGTACAGATGACATGGTCAAGATGTGAAACGGCAAATGTGACGTGGTTAAGGTGTGTCACGGTAAATATGACGTGGTCAACGTGTGTAACGGTAAATGTGATTTGGTCAGGGCTTGTCACAATAAAGATGACATGGTCAAGTTGTATCACGGTAAAGGTGACGTGGTCAATGTGTGTCATGGTAAATGTGACTTGGACAAGGTGTGTCACTGTAAAGGTAACGTGGTCAAAGTGTGTCACGGTAAAGGTGACGTGGTCAAGGTGTGTCACGGTAAAGATAACATAGTCAAGTTGTGTGACGGTAAAGGTGACGTGGTCAAGGTTTGTCACGGTAAAGCTGAATTGGTCAAGGTCTGTCACGGTATAGGTGACCTGGTCAAGATGTGTCACGTTAAAGGTGACATGGTAAAGGTGTGTCACGGTAAAGATGACGGGGTCAAGGTGTATCTTATTAAAAGTGACGTGGTCAAGGTGCGCCACGGTAAAGGTGACGGGTTCAAAGTGTGTCAAGGTAATGGTGACGTAGTCAAGATGTGTCGTGGTAAAGGTGACATGGTCAAGGTGTGTCAGAGTAAAGATGACATTGTCAAGGTGTGACACGTTGAAGATACCATGGTCAAGATGTGTCACGGTAAAGCCGACGTGGTTAAGGTGTTTCACGGATAAGGTGACATGGTTAAGGTGTGTCACGGTAAAGCTGACGCGGTCAAGGCGTGTCACGGTAAATGTGGCGTGGTCAAGGTGTGTCACGGTAAAGATGACATGGTCAAGGTTTGTCACGGTAAAGCTGACGTGGTCAAGATGTGTCACGGTAAAGGTAATATGGTCAAAGTGTGTCACGGTAAAGATGACGTGGTCAATGGGTATCGTGGTAATAGTGATGTGGTCAATGTGTGTCACGGTAAAGAGAACATGGTCAAGGTGTGTCACGGTAAAGATGACGTGGTCAAGGTTTGTCACGGTAAAGGTGACGTGGTCAAGGTGTGTCACGGTAAGGTGACGTGGTCTAGATGTGTCACGGTAAAGTTGATATGGTCAAGGTGTGTCACCTTAAAAATGACGTGGTTAAGGTGTGTCGTGGTAAAAGTGACGTGGTCAAGGTGTGTCACGGTAAAGGTGGCGTGTTCAAGGTGTGTCAAAGTAAAGCTGACGTTTTCAAGGTGTGTAGAGGTAAATGTGACGTGGTCAATGAGTGTAACGTTAAATTTGACATGGTCAAGGTGTGTCACGGTAAAGGTGACGTGGTCAAGTCGTGTCATGGTAAAGATGACATGGTCAAGGTTATTCACGGTAAAAATGACCTGGTTTAGGTGTGTCACTGAAAAAATGACATGGTCATGGTGTCACACGGTAAATATATCACGGTCAATGTGTGTCACACTAATGGTGACGTGGTCAAGGTGTGTCACGGTAAGGTAAAGGTGACGTTGTCAAGGAGTGACACGTTGAAGATACCTTAGTCAAGGTGTGTCACGGTAAAGGTGACGTGGTCAATGTGTGACACGGTAAAGATGACGTGGTCAAGTTGTGTCATGGCAGAGATGACATGATAAAGGCGTAACACGTTAAATGTGACGTGGTCAAGGTATGTCACAGTAAAGGTGACGTGGTCAAGATATGTCACAGTAAAGAAGACATGGTCAAGGTATGTCACTGTAAAGGTGACGTGGTCAAGCTGTGTCACGGTAAAGATAGCATGGTAAAGGTTAGTCACGGTAAAAATGACGTGGTCAAGTTATGTCATGGCCAAGATGGCATGGTCAAGGTGCGTCACGGTAAATTTGATGTGGTCAGGGTTTGTCACAGTAACACTGACGTGGTCAACGTGTGTAACGGTAAATGTGATTTGGTCAGGGCTTGTCACAATAAAGGTGACGTGGTCAAGTTGTATCACGGTAAATATGATATGGTTACGGTAAATATGACGTGGTCAATGTGTGTAACTGTAAATGTGATTTGGTCAGAGCTTGTCACAATAAAGGTGACGTGGTCAAGGTGTGTCACTGTAAAGCTGACGTGGCAAGGTGTGTCACGGTACAGATGACATGGTCAAGATGTAAAACGGCAAATGTGACGTGGTTAAGGTGTGTCACGGTAAATATGACGTGGTCAACGTGTGTAACGGTAAATGTGATTTGGTCAGGGCTTCTCACAATAAAGATGACATGGTCAAGTTGTATCACGGTAAAGGTGACGTGGTCATTGTGTGTCACAGTAAAGGTGACGTGGTCAAGGTGTGTCGTGGTAATGGTAACGTAGTCAAGGTGTGTCACAGTATAGGTGACATGGTGAAGGTTTGTCACTTTAAAGGTGACATGGTCAAGGTGTGTCACGGTATATATGACAAGGTCAAGGTGTGACACGGCAACTGTGACGTGGTCAAGGTGTGTCACGGTAAATATGACGTGGTCAATGTGTGTAACGGTAAATGTGATTTGGTCAGGGCTTGTCACAATAAAGGTGATGTGGTCAAGTTGTATCACGGTAAAGGTGACGTGGTCAATGTGTGTCACAGTAAAGGTGACGTGGTCAAGTTGTGTCTCGGTTAATGTGACGTGGTCAAATTGTGTCACGGTAAAGGTGACGTGGTCAAGGTGTGTCACGGTAAATTTGATGTGGTCAGGGTTTGTCACAGTAACACTGACGTGGTCATTGTGAGTAACGGTAAATGTGATTTGGTCAGGGCTTATAACAATAAAGGTGACGTGGTCAAGGTGTATCACGGTAAAGGGGACGTGGTCAAGGTGTGTCTCGGTTAATGTGACGTGGTCAAATTGTGTCACGGTAAAGGTGACGTGGTCAATGTGTGTCACTGTAAAGATAACATGGTCAAGGTGTGTCACGGTAAAGATGACGTGGTCAAGGTTTGTCACTTTAAAGGTGACATGGTCAAGGTGTGTCACGGTAAAGATGACGTGGTCAAGGTGTGTCACGGTATAGATGACATGGTCAAGGTGTGACACGGCAACTGTGACGTGGTCAAGGTATGTCACGGTAAATATGACGTGGTCAATGTGTGTAACGGTAAATGTGATTTGGTCAGGGCTTGTCACAATAAAGGTGATGTGGTCAAGTTGTATCACGGTAAAGGTGACGTGGTCAATGTGTGTCACAGTAAAGGTGACGTGGTCAAGTTGTGTCTCGGTTAATGTGACGTGGTCAAATTGTGTCACGGTAAAGGTGACGTGGTCAATGTGTGTCACTGTAAAGATAACATGGTCAAGGTGTGTCACCGTAAAGATGACCTGGTCAAGGTTTGTCACTTTAAATGTGACGTGGTCAAGGTGTGTTACGGTAAAATTGATGTCGTCAGGGTTTGTTACAATAACACTCACGAGGTCACTGTGTGTCACGGTAAAGGTGGCCTGGTCAAGTTGTGTCACGGTAAATATGACATGGTCACGGTAAATATGACGTGGTCAAGGTGTGACACGGCAAATGTGACGTGGTCAAGGTGCGTCACGGCAAATTTGATGTGGTCAGGGTTTGTCACAGTAACACTGACGTGGTCAACGTGTGTAACGGTAAATGTGATTTGGTCAGGGCTTGTCACAATAAAGGTGACGTGATCAAGTTGTATCACGGTAAATATGACATGGTTACGGTAAATATGACGTGGTCAATGTGTGTAACTGTAAATGTGATTTGGTCAGAGCTTGTCACAATAAAGGTGACGTGGTCAATGTGTGTTACGGTAAAGCTGACGTGGCAAGGTGTGTCACGGTACAGATGACATGGTCAAGATGTGAAACGGCAAATGTGACGTGGTTAAGGTGTGTCACGGTAAATATGACGTGGTCAACGTTTGTAACGGTAAATGTGATTTAGTCAGGGCTTGTCACAATAAAGATGACATGGTCAAGTTGTATCACGGTAAAGGTGACGTTGTCAATGTGTGTCACAGTAAAGGTGACGTGGTCAAGGTGTGTCGTGGTAATGGTAACGTAGTCAAGGTGTGTCACATTATAGGTGACATGGTGAAGGTTTGTCACTTTAAAGGTGACATGGTCAAGGTGTGTCACGGTATATATGACATGGTCAGGTGTGACACGGCAACTGTGACATGGTCAAGGTGTGTCACGGTAAATATGACGTGGTCAATGTGTGGAACGGTAAATGTGATTTGGTCAGGGCTTGTCACAATAAAGGTGATGTGGTCAAGTTGTATCACGGTAAAGGTGACGTGGTCAGTGTGTGTCACAGTAAAGGTGACGTGGTCAAGGTGTGTCTCGGTTAATGTGACGTGGTCAAATTGTGTCACGGTAAATGTGACGTGGTCAATGTGTGTCACTGTAAAGATAACATGGTCACGGTGTGTCACGGTAAAGATGACGTGATCAAGGTTTGTCACTTTAAAGGCGACATGGTCAAGGTTTGTCACGTTAAAGATGACGTGGTCAAGGTGTGTCACGGTACAGATGACATGGGCAAGGTGTGACACGGCAAATGTGACGTGGTTAAGGTGTGTCACGGTAGATATGACGTGGTCAATGTGTGTAACGGTAAATGCGATTTGGTTAGGGCTTGTCTTAATAAAAGTGACGTGGTCAAGTTGTATCACGGAAAAAGTGACGTGGTCAATGTGTGTCCCAGTAAAAGTGACGTGGTCAATGTGTGTCCCAGTAAAAGTGACGTGGTCAATGTGTGTCTCGGTTGATGTGACGTGGTCAAATTGTGTCACTGTAAATGTGACGTGGTCAATGTGTGTCACAGTAAAAGTGACGTGGTCGATGTGTGTCTCGGTTAATGTGACGTGGTCAAATTGTGTCACTGTAAATGTGACGTGGTCAATGTGTGTCACAGGGTCAAGGTGTATCACGGTAAAGGTGACGTGGTCAAGGTGTGTCACGGTAAATATGACGTGGTCAATGTGTGTAACGGTAAATGTGATTTGGTCAGGGCCTGCCACAATAAAGGTGACGTGGTCAAGTTGTATCACGGTAAAAGTGACGTGGTCAATGTGTGTCACAGTAAAAGTGACGTGGTCAATGTGTGTCTCGGTTAATGTGACGTGGTCAAATTGTGTCACGGTAAAGGTGACGTGGTCAATCTGTGTCACTGTAAAGATAACTTGGTCAAGGTGTGTCACGTTAAAGATGACGTGGTCAAGGTTTGTCACTTTAAATGTGACATGGTCAAGGTGTGTCAGGGTAAAGGTGACGTGGTAAAGATGTGTCACGGAAAAAGTGACATGTCAAGGTGTGTCACGGTAAAGATGACGTTGTCAAGGTGTGTCGTGGTAATGGTAACGTAGACAAGGTGTGTCACAGTATAGGTGACATGGTGATGGTGTGACACCTTAACGATGACAAGGTCAAGGTGTGACACGTTGAAGATACCATGGTCAAGTTGTGTCACAGTAAAGGTGAGGTCGTCAAGGTATGTAACGGTGAAGGCGACGTTGTCAAGGTGTGTCATGGCAGAGATGGTAAAGGTGTTACACATTAAAAGTGTCGTGGTCAAGGTATGTCACAGTAAAGGTGACGTGGTCAAGGTATGTAAAAGTAAGGATGTCATGGTCAAGTTGTGTCACGGTAAAGATGGCATGGTCAAGGTTAGTCACGGTAAAATGACGTGGTTAAGATATGTTGCGGAAAAGATGACATGGTCAAGGTGTGTCACGGTAAAAATGACGTGGTCAAGGTGTGTCGCGGAAAAGATGACATGATCAAGTTGTCACACGGTAAATATAACGTGGTCAATGTGTGTCACGGTAAAGGTGACGTGGTTAATGTGTGTCACGGTAAAGATGACGTGGTAAATGTGTGTCACGGTAAAGGTGACGTGATCAAGGTGTGTCACGGTAAAGGTGACGTGGTCTAGATGTGTCACGGTAAAGGTGACATGGTCAAGGTGTGTCACCTTAAAAATGACGTGGTTAAGGAGTATCGTGGTAAAAGTGACGTGGTCAAGGTGTGTCACGGTAAAGGTGGCGTGTTCAAGGTGTGTCAAAGTAAAGCTGACGTTTTCAAGGTGTGTGGAGGTAAATGTGACGTGGTCAAGGAGTGTAACGTTAAATTTGACATGGTCAAGGTGTGTCACGGTAAAGGTGACGTGGTCAAGTCGTGTCATGGTAAAGATGACATGGTCAAGGTTATTCACGGTAAAATGACCTTGTTAAGGTATGTCACGGCAAATATGGCATGGTCAAGGTGTGTCACGGAAAAAATAACGCGGTCAAGGTGTGTCACTGAAAAAATGACATGGTCAAGGTGTCACACGGTAAATATAACACGGTCAATGTGTGTCACAGTAATGGTGACGTGGTCAAGGTGTGTCACGGTAAGGTAAAGGTGACCTTGTCAAGGAGTGACACGTTGAAGATACCTTAGTCAAGGTGTGTCACGGTAAAGGTGACGTGGTCAATGTGTGTCACGGTAAAGATGACGTGGTCAAGTTGTGTCATGGCAGAGATGACATGGTAAAGGCGTAACACGTTAAATGTGACGTGGTCAAGGTATGTCACAGTAAAGGTGACGTGGTCAAGATATGTCACAGTAAAGGTGACGTGGTCAAGGTATGTAAAAGTAAGGATGTCATGGTCAAGTTGTGTCACGGTAAAGATGGCATGGTCAAATTAGTCACGGTAAAATGACGTGGTTAAGATATGTCGAGGAAAAGATGACATGGTCAAGGTGTGTCACGGTAAAAATGACGTGGTCAAGGTGTGTTGCGGAAAAGATGACATGATCAAGTTGTCACACGGTAAATATAACGTGGTCAATGTGTGTCACGGTAAAGGTGACGTGGTTAATGTGTGTCACGGTAAAGATGACGTGGTAAATGTGTGTCGCGGTAAAGGTGACGTGATCAAGGTGTGTCACGGTAAAGGTGACGTGCGGTAAAGGTGACATGGTCAAGGTGTGTCGCGGCAAAGATGACATGATCAAGTAGTCACACGGTTAATATAACGTGGTCAATGTGTGTCACGGAAAAGGTGACGTGCGGTAAATGTGACATGGTCAAGGTGTGCCACGGTACAGATGACATGGTCAAGATGTCACACGGTAAATATAACACGGTCAATTGATCAAGGTGTGTCACTGTAAAGGTGACGTGGCCAAGCTGTGTTACGGTAAAGATGTAGACAAGGAGTGTCACAGTATAGGTGACATGGTGAAGGTGTGTCACCTTAAAAATGACGTGGTTAAGGGGTGTCGTGGTAAAAGTGACGTGGTCAATGTGTGTCACGGAAAAGGTGACGTGGTTAATGTGTGCCACGGTAAAGATGACGTTGTCTAGGTGTGTCGTGGTAATGGTAACGTAGTCAAAGTGTGTCACAGTATAGGTGACATGGTGAAGGTGTGTCACCTTAAAAATGACGTGGTTAAGGTGTGTCGTGGTAATGGTAACGTAGTCAAAGTGTGTCACAGTATAGGTGACATGGTGAAGGTGTGTCACCTTAAAAATGACGTGGTTAAGGGGTGTCGTGGTAAAAGTGACGTGGTCAATGTGTGACACGGTAAAGATGCCGTGGTCTCACACGGTAAATATAACACGGTCAATGTGTGTCACAGTAATGGTGACGTGGTCAAGGTATGTCACTGTAAAGGTTACGTGGTCAAGCTGTGTTACGGTAAAGA